AGGTACTGTATTAATTGCTGCATTGCTCTCAGCATTCATAGTCAAAATGAGTATGGCTTTTTGGATATGTTAGTTCTCCTTGGAATGAAAACTGAAGAGCTGAGGCCAAAAAATTGCTTCGTTCACACTGACATGAAAACTTGGCCCTTCTGCTCTGGAGAACAGTGGCAAAGGGTCACAATTGCTCATAAATTTTTGTGTGACAGAATTCCACCAGTAGTCTCTTCAGATTATTAATTATTATTAGTTTACTAGGCTTACGTATGCCACAGAAGCACCAAACATCCTTGGAGAAGTCTCCATGAGATTCTTAATCACAAGTCCAAGTTCCTGAATACTAAAAACTAGAGCAATATAAATTGTGATGTTTACAAATTCTCATTGAAATTCACAAGAAATGCAAATCAATTTCACATGTTGTTTTATAAAGAATGCAGGTCATTAAGATCTTAAAATCAGACTAAAGCGACCGTAACAGAAAGCTTTACTCCACAACAACAGTAGTTCCCAAATTAGCTCAAAGTGATTTAACGAAAATGTCAGTGAAGCAACAAGCTACTCCGTGAAGGCAGAGCAATTAGAGATTCTCAAGTCAATCCTCAATCCCACTAAATCACACTACAACTTCAAGCAGCAGTATATAAAATGAAACAAAATATTTGGCACTAATGAGAATCAGAATATATCTAGAAATACATCTTTCATGAAGATCTCTGATTTCTTCAGAAGTCTCAAATTTAAGCTATTCCAAGATAAATCCCTTGAGAGGCTAAATCATTACTCTCAAAGGCTTAATGAATATTGAAGTTGATGAACTCCTTCCTGCCTCATTGAACCAGGGAACATTTAAATCCTTGACCAGAAACATGAGAAGCACCCCCAGTTAGCCACTGGATTTCAATCTGCAGTCCACGTTCTTAAATCTCATACATCAAGATGAAAGCAACTCCATTTTAAAGCACAAACATCTTTTCTTCTTCCCAGCATTGAACTCCTGCATTAAAAAGCTTTGATAGAGGTATTAAAAAACCAACACTACTCATTAAAAGCACCTAGCAAAGTATGCAGGAAATTTGAGTCTGTGTATCAGGATAAAAGTCCTAGATGTCTAAAATTTTAAGTACAGTAATTGCCTTGACCTGCACCTTAAACACAGGTTTATTCAAACCGACTCACCAAGTATCTGTTACAAGAGCCTGTTGCAAATTAGGTTGCCTTTCCTTCTGAAGCATACCGGTTTGCAGTAAAGTCCCCTAATAAAACAAGCAATTGCTTAGCACCTACCCCATACCTATTATGGAAAACACAAAATCTACCATAAGGCTGCAGCATGTTTTAATGTCCTACATATAAAAGATTATGATTCCTGGCTGGCTATCTTTCCCTGGAATTATTGAATTACAAATTACTGTAAAGATTGTCTTTGCTCTTATCAACATTATCTTATTTCACCTTTATGAATAACTATTAATTACTTACCAGTTTGAAACAAACATGTATGTTAGAGAAGTACATACAGCAATATACAGTATATATCACCTGCATATTAATCTCTAAGGAAGAACATTATTCTTTTGTAAAGGATGGTTGGGAAGAAACTAATAAATAATAAACATTTCTTTCCCTTTCCTCTGACATGATTCCTCAGAGGCCATAGCTTGCATCACCTTTTGAAAAAGTAAAAAAGTATAAAGGTCTGTATTTACTAATAATGGTTTTTATCTGAGAATATTACTGAGGAAAATAATTTCAGAAAAAACAGTTTCTGCCAAAACAGAGGTTAAAAATAGCCAGAAAATACTATACATATGGCTGAACAGATCTAACACACTGCTGTGTAGACACAGATTAGTCTACCTCTAGGACAATGCTCTTCTCAGTAGACATTATCTTTGGATACAAACAGAAGAACAAGAATTGAGGGGGTGAAGAAGAATGAGATTAATTTTTTCAACCCTTTCTGTGTCTTTTTATAACACTACACTGAGTCCTGCCGCAAGTTTTGAAACTGAGGGTTTCACTCTGTATACACAATTTCAACAAGGAGCAAGACAAAAAGATGGCAGCAGCCTCCTACTCTGAACGCCTCCTCACTTTGTCAAATAAGGAAAGATAAAGAAAACCAACACCTGAACAGTAACAAATCCTTGAGATACAATTTTTTGCTTTCTTTCTTTTCTCCTTCCTGTTGAAGCCTCCAAAACACCCAAGAGACTGGAGAACTTAATCTTCTTATTCCTCCAAATCCTGTAAAAACAGCTTTTGTACTGAAACCACAATTTCTCAGCTAGAGCAAAGTGCTCAGAGTAACTAAGGGAAAAAATAATTATCTCTACCCCATTCTGTCTCCCATTTTAAAAGTTGCTCCTCTTTAGCAAGTGACTTTGAATATTATATTACCTGGCAATAGGAAGGTTCTGTTTCTGAAGATTTTAAAATTATTTTCTATTTGTTTTCAGGAACTATGAGACTTCCTGATGTGTATTTTTCCTACATGATTGAGGAACCATACAAAAAGAATGCCCTTTCAATGCCCCCCCACCCCCAGAAAATGAAGCTTGATCTTAATGCAAGTGAAGCATACAAGGCACAACTGTGATAGCCATTTGGCCATTTCATGAAGATTACCACTAATTCTGTAAAGGGAATTTAGGGCACTATTTTGTAAGCAGCTGGAAAACAAATAATGCATTTAGTCAAAATCTCAGCAAAAGTAAGCTAGAAATTACAGAGAGCAAAAGGTAAAATTTTAAATAAAGACTGATATAAGGGACTAAATTAAAAGAAAAAAAGGACACAACGTTTTTTGCTTCTGCGATCAGTGTCCATGAACTTCAGAGTACCAGATGCTCAACTTTTTCTCAATCTCATGGTAAGATGAGGAAATACTGATTGCCATTTATGTTTGCTTCGTTTTGCTATAGCCTTTTGCTCAAGATTTCATGCTGTCTTCCCCATTCCTAAAAGGTTTAGGCTGAGAAAAACAGACTGAACTCAGATACATTTTGTACAAAGCACACTGCATTTGAGAACTTTGGGAAAGCTAGTCATGTTAGTCAACACTGTACAGGTTACCCAGCTCCATAAAAGCATCCTCTCTTTTCCAAAGCCTGATGACTGGCCAGGTACCTCAATCAGGATTTTGTGGGAATAAGGAGATGAGAACAATAATCTTCTCAAAACGTAACTGGCAAAATTAACTTAGTTTTTACAAAGTTTTATGACTTGTGCAAACACAAACTTTCATAAATCACAAGTCAAAGAACTTGGACATAGTTAAAGCTGACAAACATTTTTGAAAGAGAAATCGAACATGAAATGAGTTTCAAAGGACAGCCTTGCCAAATAAGACTAGATACTTTAGAGAAATAGAATTAGGAAAGATGCATTGTAGTAGGACCCACGAGGGGTAATTTTAGATGATTGGCTTTAAGGCATCTACAGCATGGTGTGACAAAAGCTGATAGGCCAAGAAACACTTATAGTGTATTGTAAATAGGAAATAGTTGCCTTCTGATTGTGATGGTGTGCATTATAAACATCTGTATTATGTCACCCTTCACGTGAGACTGAAAAAGGAATAAAAAATTTTAAAACGCCTCACAGTTGCCCCGTCTCTGGGTCAGAAAAGGGTATAATCTGACAAATGAAAGTTAGTTTTGGGGTAGGCTTTTTAAAGATTATCACAGAACAGCAGCATTTTTTCTGAAGAGCTTTGACAATCATTGTGGCTTGCTAATCATTACTGTAGTGTAAGAAATATTGTCTTATGAAAAAGTAAGAACTAACACTGTGGCTTCAAGGCTTCTAATGATTTTATAAATGTAGACTTGACATACATTTTTATACTAATTAACTACCTTTGAGCCTGACATAACTAGACTTTTTACAGTCTGAGACAGCACCACTCATTATTGCACACAAGACTGGCATTAAATGCAAAACCTCTACAGCAAGGAAGTAAATTTATTATGGGATTACCAGAATGGGAAAAGTGCTTTGAATTATTTATTTTCAGCTAACCAGTAAAAGAGAAGAACCTGAATGAGGCAAAATCCAATAAGTGACCTCATGATTTATGTATAAAGAATGCCATTTCCTATCATAATTTTATGGCATATGCCCTATAAGAATAAAAAAACGTTTGTCAATGTCAGAAAGAAAGCAAAGTGAGAGAAATCTTGGTTCATCTGACCCATCAAAGTAGAATTAGAGAGAAAAAAATATATAAAAATATTGCTTCAATGACCAAGAAATAAATTAATAAAGTTCATTGAGAGAATTACCTTTTTTCTAACATGAACACAATACAGGTTTTATAGCGATGGTAATCACAACTGGAAATTCACCTTTATATTTGCTGACCAGCAAAAAGCTTCGGGTTGGCAATTAAAATCCCAGACAAAAAAATAACGTAATAATATAGACTGAACCTAAGTTGTATCTGTACTTAGAACACCAGAGCCCTGCTCACAATTCCAGCTAATATTCTTTCTCCGCTTTTGTACTTGGATAACAGAATGGCATGAAGACTAAAACCTGAAAAGAAACCTAGAAACAACTGCAGTGAACTGAAGAGGGTGAACGACCCGCATCACGCATATAAGCATCTTTCGAGCGAGAACCAAAGCAGTACCGCCTTTCGGGCAGAACCCCGGCAGGGCGGGGCGGGGTCCCGGCCGGGCCCTTCGGCCCCCAGCAGCCGGGGCCCGGACAGCTCTGGGCTCGGCCCGGCCCCGCTGCGCTCCCCTCCGCCGCAGCCGCACGGACGCCCAGCAGCGCATCCGACAGCATCGGTGCGCCTGCGGAGCGGCGCCCGAGTGCAGCCCATGCCGGCACCCGCGGGCAGAGCGCAGGCACACGGAACGCACCGGCGCCCACGGGCGATGCTGCACGGACACCGCGGCCAGACCCACGCGCCCTCCCCGAGCCTCCTCTCCCGCAGGGCGGGCAGATGCGCGGGGCCTCTCGATGGCCGGGACAGCGCGGCTGGTACTGACCTTTCTGCTGGCGGAAGGACTGGATGGAGCCCGAGTGATGAACCATGCTGACGGAGAGCAGCCTCCGAGCTGCCGGCCCGCCGGCTGCGGCGCTGGGGGCGGGCCCGCAGCGGCGCGGCGCGGCGCGGCGCGGGGGCTGAGGGAACGGCCGAGGCGGCGGCGCCGGCGGGAAGGCGGCAGCGCCGGCCCGAGCGGCGGCGCGGGGCCGCGGCCGTGCCTCCGCCCGCTCCCCGGGACGGGAACGGGTCTGCGGGAAGTGTTGGGAAAGGCTCTGCGGCAAGGCGCCCGCTGGGGAGGGGCGCTGGCCCCGGCCCCGTTATTCCTACTGCCTTGCTGTACCCTCGCCTCCCTCTAGAAGACACATCAGGTGTTCCTGTTGAGGTGAAGGGCAGCGAGGTAAAAATTACATCTCCTTTACGCAGCAACAGCTGCATTTAAATCTCAACGTTGTGAGTTAAGTTGGTGGTACATCACCTCCATCCCCAGCTTTTTTTTATTTCTATGTATTTTATAAAACTTAGAGTCTCAACCTTACTGCAGATGATTTTTTACAATATACCGTATTACAAAATCAAGCCTGATGTGGGCCATTTCTATGCTATTTATATCATAATTTACCCTATCTCTACAGCATATGCCAGTAGATCATTCTAGACGACAGAAGATTCAAACTAAAAAGGGTTTTATTTCTTTCCTGGTTGCTCTCTGCTCACATTATTCTCTCTGGATTCAAAATAAGTTTCATGATAGCATCATTCAATTTCTGAAGAATGTTTTGGGTTTCTTTTTTTTTTTTCTACCACAATAATCTGGGGGGTTTGGTCCTTCTAAATTAATTCAGTCAAATATTCTAGCCTGCATCTAGCAGTATCTGTATCCTCTTCTCCATTTAGGGATATAAACATTATTTACTCATCAGAAGTTAATTCAATCACTTAACTAGCACAGGTTACTGCAGTATTCCTTCAAAGTCTGTGGCTCCATTTGTGTGCTGTCTGATTTCCTCTGACAGTAAAGGCAGAACTTCCCCATAGCTGACTGGAGCTTGTCATATACAATCTGCTAAAAAATTACATAATTGCCACCCCTTACTACAGGCCAGTCTGTACTATAAATTGTACTACTTTGTCTATATCAGTGTAGTTAAGCAAACAAGATGGATACACACTTTTTTTTTTTGGTGTAAGAATGTTTTTCCACTATGAAAACATATTAAACAACCATATATAAACCAATACATCCATGCATGTAGACAGGCAGGCAAAATAAAAATTGCAAGGTATTCCCCAGCACTTTTTTTAGAGTATAACAGATACTGCTTTTACATAACATGCAGCTGACACATCCAATTGATACCATAAGGGGAAAAAAACTTACCTCCTCAGGATAGCTGACCACATTTCGGGTTGGTTTGCAACATTTACATAAGGTGTGTTGTTAGTTTAAGAAAAGATGCAGAAGCTATAGTGCTATAGTATGTATCTTACTCATTTCTTGGTCTCCTGTGGCTATCTGAAGGTAATAGATGAAGCATTCCTCTGCACTCCTACAATTTTAGAAAAGCTTCTGAGAACAGCTTTTTCCTGCTGAGAGACAGCACTATAAATGTTGCATGGCAGAATAAGTCAGCCAGCTGACTCTTGCTGATCAACAAGTTCTGGCAAACTAAAAGCAAGCTACAAAAAGAGGTAGAATGAAAGCTTTGTTGTTTACTTTTAAGCTTTAATGTAGACATCAGAGTGGATTCCTAGAGATTAAAACCAAGTCTATACCCTGAAAGTCAGCCGGGAAAAAGAGTATAATAAAAACTATAAACTTAATAAATATATGCAATCTGCAAAAAGCAAATGTAGTTGTTCCACTGTAATGGTCTAAACCTTTGTCAGGTTCTAGGGCAGATCTATTCTTTGAGAAACCTTGGCTGACACCTTTTGACTTGCCTATGAAGTAGAAGAGCAGTATAAATTATGCTCCTTCTCTAGCAGCACAAAACAAGAGGGCCATTACTGACTCTCCAATGATAATAATTACAAAATGCAAAGGGGAAGAAGAGGGGATTACAAGTAAAATTACAGATGAAAGAGATTATCACATTCACTCTTGGAAAAGAGGCTGGAAGCTGCCTGGTACTTAGGGCCATCCTTCTAATTTCTGGTCCACAATCCTCCACAAGGATTTACAGAACTCCTGAATTCAAGTAGATTTCACTGACATAATACACAAAATGATGGGAAGAGAAAGCCAGGGTAAGGTAATGCTCAGAAACCCTCTACAAGGATTAAATGCTGGGACTAGAAAATTATAAATTATACATATTATAATTATTAAGCTCTATTTCTAATGGTATGTATGCATGAAGCTAAGGATAAGACAGTTGGGATTAAGGTCTGCAAAAGAGAAGAAAAAATACCTCTACAAAGATAATTTTTGAATTAAATCCTTCACACTGTCAGCTGACTAAACTTGATAATTGTAAAATATGATCATATGAGGATCTTGAAATATAGTTCTTTGGTAAATAAGGAGAGTTTGACGATCTTTTTAGAGTGCAGATAACAGAACAATTAAGAATTGATGGCTAAAATATGTAAGAAAGGCATGCATTCTTAGGATTTATATGCATGGGCTACATTGGTTCTGAAGGTCATTGAAGTAAACTACCCTCAAAAGCACTGTCTAATGAAATATTTAGTTATATTATGCTCGGTCTCACATTTATCTCTGTGTAAGTTTTTACAGATTGTTTCTAAAGCAAATTAAATATGGATATGGAGAGATCAGGATGAAACAGAACTAGATTAAAATCTTCTACCTTGACAATCAACAGAACCAAAATCATGACTCAAAGCCTAAGGTTGATCTTGTTGAATTTTTAACCTAAGTTTTAGGTTTTTAGTTTTGACAGTGAGATTAATTCTCTGTGATAGACATTTTTTTCATGAGATAATCTTTGTCAGAAGAGATAAGGAAATAAGATTTAGTCTGGCTTCATCATACATCTAGCCTTGTGAAAATCTGTATTATTTGAGATCTGTAAAATTTTGAAATTATAAGAACAGGAGGACTGAGTTGTTTTACCACTAGAACAGGCTATGAGAAAGACATGCTTTAAATTAATTTTTGTATTTCCACAATGCTTTTCAAGAAAGTCAGATGAAATAGAACTCTAAATTAAAACCTAATTCACCTGCATTATATCTTATGCCAATTATTTCCTTAAGAAATATAGCGACCTCAAAAGTAAGCCATAGCCAGTGTTAACTATTGCCCAGAAAGAAAATGAAACTTACTCCAAAGAAATTCATGAGGCTCAGTAAGTGCAAAATCCTGCACCTGGAAAATCCCCATACATCAATTCATGCTGAGCAGCAGCTCTAGCAGAAAGGACCTGAATGTTATGGGAAGCACTACCTTGAACACAGCCAACAGTGCACTTGTATCATAAATAAAGAAACCTTAGGAGAAATGCAGCCAACAAATGAAAGCAGTATCAATCCTCTTTACTTGGTGTGGCTGTAGCTGTACCTGCAATTTTCTGTCTAGCTTTCCCACTTCATGCCCACTTAGTTCTGCAAAGGTGTTAGAAAATTGGAAAAGGTCCATAAAATGCTGCTGAAGAAGGTCAAAGGTCCACAATAAGTAAACTGTGAGAAGTTGAATAAACTAGGCTAATTTAATATGGAAAATAAACTAAGGAGTTCCAGGAGCCTACCACTACTGGGAAACCACTTGCAAAGGTTACAGTAATAAACCCTTTATAGTGCTAAATGATCTGGTTAATGACAATAGCTACACATGATGGCATGGGAGGCTCAGACCGAGCACTAGTAACGAGTTTTTACCACATTGGTGATACATCAGCAGAACATGTAACCCAAAAATAGGTGAAATACCTGTCCTTGAAGGTTTTCAGAATATGCCTTGACAAAGCTGTGTCTGACCCTGTCTGGTGATGGCAGTGGTAAAGCTGCAGAACAGGAGGCTGGACCTGCAATGGCTATAATAAAGGATGTAACAAAAATAAAATTCAAGGTTGTTGGAACCAGATGGATTCAAAACAGGAAGTAGACACACAATTTCAAATTGTAATTAAAATAAATCATAAAGTTAATTTTTCATATCTGCAGTGAAGGATTTTGTTGACTGCATGTTTATGCAGATTTTCATAGGACAAAATAGTATGATACTAAATGTCCTTTCTCAAACACACTAATTTCTAAAATTCTTGTGAAGTACAGTTTCTTATCAATTTGCAAGAAAGGTTTTGAGACAGGGTGATTCTTTAGTGTAAAATGTTGTCTGAATAAGAACATTAAATATTTACAACAGCACCCAAAATTATTTATTTTACTATCAATTTTTATCTAATACATTTAAAGGGTATGAAAAATCCCCTGAAAAGTGTTTACAGAATTGTTGAGTCCACCTCCCAAGAAGAGCAGTTCTGTACTACTCAAAGTTCTGCAATGTAAAATTCATCTTGTTCAATATTTGCAGCAATGTTGTTTCCAAATTCTTTCACCATACTGAAAACAGTGAGAATTTTACCACAGAGAGTAACACAATTATTATATCTCATGAAACAGTCAGTTACTATGGAGAAGGTCTAGAAAGTAGATTTGCTAAAGTATGTCATAGATTAATTTAAAAACTGAACAACATATCAATAAAGATTTTACCTTGTGTTGCTAAGACACAAACTCTTGAAATCTCACTGATCTCTATATTTTAATATTTCATTTCTATGGTAATTTAAGAGACATTTTCTCCTAGTATAGACAGAATTTTCTTATATCCATGGAACTGACTGTGTTTTCTGACTGATATAAAGTGTTTGGGATTCAATTCTGTAGCTCAGAATTGCTCTCTAAGCAATTGCATGTTTAGTTTTAAGTTTATAGTTTACTTTTATACATTCATGTTTGCATCCTGATCACCTCCCTGAATGGAGTTATTTTTGCAGTATAAGATTAATTTATCAAGCAAACATGAAAGAAACAAAGAAAGAAATTTTACAGTCCATGTGCTTAGTGAAATTTCATTTACCTCAGCAAAGAAACTCAATTTTATTGTTAAATATTTGGGTCAAATGCTAAACTAGAATACTAAAGAGTTCCTCATTCTTGTGCCTGGTACACACTGCAATCCTTGGAACATACCTGTATAGAAGTGAAAAAATGAGTGAAATGTCCACGGCTAAAAAACCCTTTTATCACAATGCAAAAAGATTATAAAGAAAATACTAATGTCAAGAAACATGTGAAGAGGAAAACTGAATTTTCATAGCAGCATACAATTTACGTACCTATACAAATTTTCAGGTAGGCAAACTTCTACATTGTGATATTTTTCTCTTCTATTACACATCTCAGTTTTCTTATTTCACATTTTACCTGAAGCAAACAGCAGGAAAGATTATCCTCCTCTAACTCTGCAGTACCAACTATCA